AAGTACTAATGGCTGGAGATTTTTATCGTATACTGGATGCAAGTTTAGATAGAAAAATCATGAATGACGAGGCTAAGAATAAGAATAAAAATAATATTTCTCAAGCAGCACATCTCCAGCGTATTATTAGAAAATTTGGCATGTTGGATATACCATCCTGGGGAAAAAGATTACACATGCTTTTCTAGATCTTTTATGTCATAATCAAAGATTGATCTGTTTTTGGGAAATGAGATATTGGCAAATAGGATCAAAAAGGTACTGATTGATGAAATCACGTGGTTTGACCATAATGCGTTAATTTTAGATTTATTACCAGATAATAAAAAAGCTAAAAGAACAGACTAGCGACTAAACGATAATATTCTATCAAAAAAAGAAAATAGAGAATTTATAACAGAAATGACAGAAAATTATTTTTCTGAAAACAAATAGAAAGGGGTTTCTTTGCCAGTCATTTGGAGTGCCTATAAGTGGGTTATGAAGGGATATTTTATTAAATTAGGAACAATTGCAAAAAAATAAAGAGGAGCATCTCTTTCTGAATGTATATACATTTCTATAGACTTTAGATTTATTCTAATAATGGATATTATCAATAATAGGGGGGTATTATCTATCTAATAATAGCAGTGCTAAACTAGGAACAGTACATTCAAATATTCTCTGGTTTCAAAGTACGCCCTGGGGATATTACTTTCCCCCTACATCCAGGGGATGTTACTATTACCTAATTGAATAGTTCTCATTTTATCTGATGGAGTTCATCCGAACAAAACACATATTGGAATCCACTATATGTATGGACTTTTATTTATAATAGTGCTATTATTTTGGTTTGTTTTATCTGTTTCAATTTATTGAGCTATTTTTTTTATTTTATTTGATTAATAAACCTTTTAGCCTACCCTGTTCTGTTTATGGTCCTGTGTGGTTACAATTCCAGAAGTGGTCTACTTTGGGCTTTTGCCAGCCCCCAGATTGGCAACAAGCATTCACCATTAAAGGAGGTAAGATTTGTGGGTGCTAAATATGGAGAGCTTTTAAGCAGTATCTTACATTAATTGTTAGTATATACTATTGGAGGCTTCATTTTTACTATGTTTATGTCTGGAAATCCATTCGATTGAAGGTGATATGCTACCATAAATGCATATAGGCGCTGTTTTCTGAGCCAGTCCTTTCAGGCTCTGACCCATATGAGCGTACTCTATTATCACCTATTTTTAGGTTTTATGTAGATTTCCATCTACACTATATGTATGTTATTTTTCCTTTATATGTGTTCTGTATACATCCCTAATATATCGTTTTAATAAGGGTAAGAAAACTGCACATGCATGGCTTTTAGCGCTCTTTTTTGTATTATTTAGATCACATTTGTATTTTAAATTGTGTGTGGGTAAAGGGGTATTCCCACACAGGAATGTTTTCAGCTGCTATTCACTGTAGCTTGACAATTCACACGGAAGTGTAGACATTGGGATTAAACCTTGAATCCTGCCAACGTCACCCCCTTCTTCCCAAGAGCCGGAGGCTCCCAATACCTGACTACATTGGGGGACGATACTAACCGAACATGATCTGAGAATTGATAAATGTCAATGGGCGGCACTAACATACCTGCAATTATGCTGTTCTTTTTTCTTTTCCTTTTAAGCATGGTTCTGATGATAATTTTACTCTGAAACGTAGACGGCTATTGCCGCAATTGAAAGATATTCAGTGTCACTTTATTATCACCCCCTGCGGCCCCCATAGGTAATGGGCATTTAATATTGAGGCACGGTACTCCATTGTTCTTGTTAATTTATATTGACACCTATTCACACCCCTAATGTTCTTACCAAATAGACACCTTCATCATCGCCTCTCGGCACTCTACATCCCACACACGGGGAGTAATTTTCCATGTAATCATAATCAAATATATGCTGTGCCTCCTCTGCATCCTAGAACTTGCGTTTATGAGCATATTTCATAGCCAGCTTCCAGGGACACCTGAGAGTTTCCTATTTCTAAATGAGTCCCTACCCCATTGTCTCTCTCGCTTATACCTAGTCTGAAAACGTCTTAAATTTTATTTTAAAAAGTGCCTTATCCCTGCAATTTCATTGTGTAACCTTTCTATAAGTATTGCATTCTTGTCAAATGTCAAACACGTCTAAGCAAAGCACTGCAAAAAATGTTTTTTTTTAAATGTTCTTCTTACACTAATATTAACTTAAGTGAACCAGCGCCCCCTCCTGTTATGTTAATATTAAAGGAACACTAGTAGAAACAACTACTTTAACTTGATGTTTTGGTAAAAGAGTGCTGGTTTCTGTTAATATTTTTATTAAGTGAAGCAGTGCCCCCTACTGTTATATTACTATAATTAAGAAGCATCACCATCTTCTGTCTAATTACTATTAAAGAAACACTCAAACCTCTACAGCAGGCCACAGTAAATGGGTTGACTATGCTACACTGAGGGCAGTCCTGGCACCATAACTACCAAAGAGTAGTGGAGTGAATTACACTGAGTGTGTTTCATTTAGAATTTCTGATCTGCTGCTCTGTTAATTGCTTGCTAGAGCCTGCATGTGTATGATTAACCCCTTAAGGACCAAGCTTCAATTTGCTTGTTTTGTTCTTAAGGACCACAGCAATTTTGTCATTTTTGCTACATACACAATTTCCATCTTTCTTATTTATTGCACCAACACATATTGTATATTGTTTTATTAAATGACTTTTAAAAAAATATATGATTGTTATATATATATATATATATATAATTCATTTGATGTGACATATACATATATAATTTCTTTTTTGTTATATAAAAAAAAACAATTGTGATTTTTCATGGTTTTGGCAATAATCATCTTTACATGTGTACATAAGTACAGTGTAAGAAAATTAGTTCACAATAATTTAATTTATTTGTCCTAATTTGCAGAGTGCACTAAATGTCTAGGATTTCTGTTAATTTTGGTAGTTACAGTCCACAAAATAAAAGGAGTAAAATACAATTTCTATTGTGGAATAATTTTAGTATGTTTGTTTAAAATTTAAAGGAAAAATCCATGTATCCATGACCCTATAATGTTAAAAACACCTTCTATCCCCCCAACCCCTCCTTGTTCCCCTACATACAGTAATATATTCCTTTTATTCCAGTCTGCTGCTCCTGGCTGTGGCCTCAATCTTCTTGGCTGACATCATCAGAAATGATGATCTGAGCCAATCACAATGATTTCCCGTAGGAAAGCATTCTCTGAAAAGACAGTGTTTACTGCAAAAAGCCTAAAGGTAATGATTTTACGCACCAGAACAAATACAATAAGCTGTAGTTGTCCTGTGGACTATAGTGTCCCTTTAATAGATGTATAGTTTGCTCTATTTCTACAGTAAACCAACACCCTAAATCTATAACTTTTCCAGGTTTTGGGGAATTTTTAGGATCCGATTAGAGACATGTCTTAAATGAGCACTATAGTGCCAGGAAAACAAACTCGTTTTCCTGGCACTATAGGGTCATTAGGTTCCCCCACCCTCAGGGCCCCCCTCCCGCTGGGCTGAATGGGTTAAAACTCCTTCAGCCACTTACCTTAATCCAGCACCGGGCTCCCTCTGTGCTGGGGAACTCTCCACCCCCTGGCGATGACAGATACGAATGCGCATGCACGGCAAGAGCCGCACCCACATTCAAACAGCCCATATGAAAGCATTACTCAATGCTTTCCTATGGACGTCCAGCGTCTTCTCACTGTGATTTTCTCTGAAACCGCTAGGTTTTCAGCTGCAGGGTTAAAACTAGAGGGACCTGGGTGCCTATAGTGGTCCTTATACTATAAACATTATGTATATATATTGCAGTACACTGACAGGAGCATTTTTTGGGTATTTGTTTCACAGACCAAATAAGAGACAGTAAGTAATAGGAGAAACAAAATTCATTTTTTAAAGTTATAATTATTATATATATCTATCGATTGTTTTTACTGCTCCTTCTTTTCCTCCTTGATTGCTCACTTATCACTTGATATGTAAACAAAATCAACAACTATTAACTGTCATCTATCGTCCCACCAATCATCTCTTTTTTGGGTGGAATTCAGAATCAAAAATCAAAATAAACATGTTCGTCTATTGTGCGTTTTTTGGTAGTTTTTTCTCAAATCTTTATTTTCAACTTATATAGTAGACATGTAATCATATAGTTGACAAGATATATCAGGACTTGACAGTGCTAGTTACCTAATTAGTGTATAGTGTAGAAGAATCATTGTTGCCAAGGTAGTAATACACTGATCTGATTGACATGCAAAGGTAACCATAATATTAACAGTTTCAGTTCAGAGAATAACTGAACATTCCAAATATCCCTGACGTATCAGGGCTTGGCCGTGTGCTTGACATTTAAAAGTAAATTAAACCGCCATTTTTTTAATGTAGAGGGCAGTGAGACTCACCAAGAAATGTTTACTTAATGGAGAAAAGAGATAGTATAGTAAGATAAAGGAAAGCAGAAAGAATAGAGACAAGTGTCAGGAGACTAAGAAATAGTGGTCAGTGAGAGCAGGGGATAGAGGAAATTACCGCCAGGATAGAGGGGGGAGGGAGGTGTGGAGATCGCTTATGGCTTTCCACTCCCAATAGTGAAGGCTGTGATGCCATCTATTGTGCGTTTTTGTTTGGTTCGTGATTCAGCTACATTTTAACTCAGAGTTCCGAAATTCGACGACCACCCGATCCATCCCAATTGAGATGAATTGCAGTTCGTAACAAAACAAATCTCCTAGTCTACTGAGCAACATCAAACTTTGATGCTCTTTTAACCTTGTTATTATTTATTATTTATTTATTTAAACACTAACCCTATCTAACCATTTCAAATCCTAATTCTAGCTAATACTAAAGTTAATTCATTCATTTTTTACATTACAAAATCTCCATTTTGATAACAAAAAGTTGTAATATTTAAAAAATCAACTTTATTAACTTTGACATGAGGGTATATTAATGTCCAAACAGCTTTGGAAATACTATCGATTGCTCTGTTCATTAGGTTTGGTGTCAGAGATTGGTCTTTCTTTTTGCCGCAGAGCATTTGGAAATCGATCTTAAGTTGTCATGTTTCTCCGTAGCCATGGATGTTGCAGAGCCTGACTAGGTGTCATACGCAGTTCAGGATCCCATTCTAAGCACTGCTTTAAAAAGTCTAGGAACAGGGGATCCTCACAGCCCATGAGTGCACTCACAAATTCTCTACTTCCAGGAGGTCCACGGAAATTTCCCTTTCTAGAGTGTTTTCCTTTTAGTAGCACTAAACGGTCTGACAGGCATCTACGAAGGCAATAACGAGGGTGTCCTACAGAGGTGAAAAATTTACTGGCTCTTTCTGATGAATTGAGTAGGTTTTCTGGTGGCATACCCAATAGTTCCATCATGCATACAAGCTGGTCACCTTCATCTACCCCAAGGATAAGTGGATAGCCAGTCAATATTTCTGCAAGTACGCAACCCAAGCTCCACATATCTATGGGCATTGCACAGTTACCACCTAAGATGACTTCTGGTGCTCGATAATATCGAGTCTGGACATATGTAGAGAGGGGCTGATAGTTGTAACAGCTTGAACCAAAGTCTATAACCTTAACGTCACTGCTAGTGTGTTGCTTCAGTAAGATGTTATCAGGTTTAAGGTCACAGTGAATTATTCTATTTTTGTGCAGTGAATTCAAGCACTGTAAAATTGAACGTGCAACATTTTTGACTAATGGCAAGCTCAAACCCTGGTAGTTGTTCTTCTTTATTACTTCATAGAGGTCCATGCCAAGAAGCTCAAACACAATACAGACATGATTGCGGAATACGAAGTTTTCAAGCATATGAATAATGTTCATGGTGTCATGCTTATCCAGATTCCTCAGATGTTGAAGGATTCGGATCTCTTGTGCAGCTTGTTGGTGATATAGCTTTTGGTTTCGTATCATTTTTATAGCCACGTGATGGTGAAGCTTGTGATCATATGCCTTCACGACTTGTCCAAAGCTTCCTCTGCCGAGAACCTGCTGGACTTCGTATCTATAAGCGATATGGTCACGGAGCACTGGAATGTATAAATGCTCATTATCATCATAGCCACCATTATTTCGGCCTCCAATTACTCCTTGATGTTTTTTTGCACGGGGACCAATAAAATATATTTCAGTGTAGTTAAAAATTTCACTTTGTTCAAAGGCTGTCAGTTGGTGCATGTATAAATTAATTGTCTGCTCTGGTGTTAATGGTGATTTCTGAAACAGAAACCATAACACAATTAACACAAGTATAGAAGAGGCTAAATAAAAAGTTAAGGACAAAACTAAACATTTGAAGAAAGGGAAAAAAAAAAAGTTATTTTATAACAGAACAGTCCTCTAAATTATTGGAGACTGTGGCCTGCTAGCAACCCATTCTATACATCCATGGTTTTCTCAGTGAGGAGTTTTTATTCACATAATTTGCTCTTTATACGTATTTTACTGGAACGCAATTATCATGAAACATGCTAACAGCATTATCACATTTTGATAAGCACTATAGCTTGTCTATAAAAAGAAGCTGTGTATACAATATGGATTGGCAGAAAACTGACTCATACACCTACAAACCCATAACCACCAACAATGAGCCGGAGTGTTTACTGTGCTTTCAGGATGCTTTTTGTCTAATATTTTTTAAAAAATGCAGCCGTAAAATATTTCTTAATGCGGGGCCGGTCCAAGACATTGTGCTGCCTGGGTCCAAGGATAAAATGCTGCCCCCCTCCTCCCTCCACACCAAAAGCACCACAGCATCCATTATGTTATGCAGTGTGTGTAGTGAACACAATGTCTATTTGTGTAGTGGATGAAGTGTCTGTAGTGAATGTTTTATGTGTGTGTGCATGTGTGTGTGTAGTGGATGCAGAGTGTGTGTGTGTGTTGTGGATTCTGTGTCTGTTTTTGTGTTATGGATGTAGTGTGTATTGTATGCAGTGTGTGTATTGAATACGTTATCTGTGTGTGTGTATAGTGGAGGCAGTGTGTGTAGTGGATGCAGTGGCTGTATGCAGTGTGTGTAGTGCGTGCAGTGTTTGTGTAGTGGATGCAGTTTCTTTGTAGTATCTGTGCAGTGGATGTAGTGTCTGTTATGCATCTAGTGTTGGATAAGTGCTGGGGGGTGAGCAGTTTAATTCAATTGGGCTTACCCACCTCTCCCGGCCTCTTACCTGTGGGCTGGAAGAGTAGGACAGTGTGTAGGAAGGTGACAGTATAGTGGGAGCAGTGTGGGGTGCCAATGTGTAGGAAGGTGACAGTATAGGGGGTAGTGTGTAGAAAAGTGACTGTATGGGGGAAACAGTGTGTAGAAAGGTCACATTATAGGGGGGCAGTGTGTAGAAAGGGTGTGAGAGGCAGGGTGTGGTAGTGACTGTAGTGGGGGTGACAGTAGTTGGGGGCAGGGTGCGGGGGTCATAGTGGTATGGGGTATGGCGTTGGGGGCACAGTGGTATAGAGCATGGTGTGGGGGCATAGTGGTGGGGGTGACAGTGGGGGCAAGCTGTGTGGAGGCTTACATACCTTTTTTTTTTAAGTTCCTTATTCCCTGGTTGTTCGGTGGGCTTGTCCTCCAATCTGCAGCTCTGTTGGATGTGAGCTGCAGACCATGTGATAGGGTTCTTGCAAGCTCAGTGGTAACCCACGGCAATGCTCTAGGAGATCCTCCATCACATGGTCTGCAGCTCACACTGGCAGAGCTGCAGACCAGAGGTGCCACCGAGCCCCCTCCTGATGTTGGACCCTCCGTCATGCACCAAGGACCCAACAGATCATTCTACCCTGAGGCGATTTAGGCGGCCACGAGGCCTCAGGTGGTCAGCTAAATCGCCTGATTAGAGAGCTGCATATATATATGTAGCCACAATTTCATAGATAAAAATATACATAATATGTAAATTACCTGTACTACCTATTATATTTGCCTATTGACTCTTACCTTATGTGCAGAACTGGCAGCCATCGGTGGTGGTCCTGCATGTGCAGCATCATGTGAGAATTCTGGTGGTGTCTGTATCTGACTAATATGTCCATTTCTTTTGTCTGCTACATTGAAAACAGAAACCATATCACAGGACATTGGAAGCCAGTTTTAGCACTTCTAAATGTAAATTATTCACGCATTCAACGAATGAACATTTTTCATTAACATTTATAGAATACGTCATATCAATAAGCAATGATCACAAGTTAAAGTGTCTCTGTCAACTGAAACTCACCTCTCTCCCATCGTTTCCTCTTCTCTTCCTCTTTCAGAATCTGTTAGTTTTATAATTTCTGATCTAATCCTCTTTAAAACATGAAACAAAATAAGGACTACTTTCTCTTATGTATTTTTCCTACACTTGAGAATCTTGACAAAGGGTGGAGCTTAAGACAAGCTTTACTTTGTTAATTAAGGAAGGCAGAGAAGCTGGCCTAGAGCTCCACCCTCTGTTAAAATTCTCAATCATGGGAAAAATTATACAAAGTCCCTAATTTGTTTGTGTTTTAAGGAGAACCAGATCAGAAAATAACAGATTGTAAAAGAGAAGAGGGAACAATAAGAGAAAGATAAGTTTCAGGTGACAGAGATGCTGTACTGTAATGTAATGCGTTGAATTGAAAAAAAATAATTGAACTATGATTAAACCATTGCAAACTCTTTGCACAGCAGGATTGTCACCCATGTCCCATATTTAAGTACTGATAGGTCATTTGTTCATCAGTTTGGGTTAGTTTGTTATCTTGAAGACAACATCATGGCTATCTCTGTATTCACTTGGTTATCACTTTAGAAAAATGTGAATTTTTAACATTAATGAGAGTCATGAGAGTCCAGAAACTTTCAGTGTCACCACTTGAATAGAATTGGGAAATGTTGGACTTTTGGTGTGTTTGAGATCTGGTTTGGAAGCATTGCTTTATGGAGAACCCATGTAGCTGTCATGGGTAGCTCACATAAATATAAGGCGGCTTCTGTGTTATTTTATGGCAATCTCAACGTGACCATCATCACAATAGAATGTTTTAATTACTATCTTTCAAATGGTGTTATGTTAATTCAAAGCAGCATAATGTCAGGGCTGATGTGAATTTGTATAGGGCAGACAAGATCATAAAGTAGACCAGGGGAAGCAACCTTTGGTTACAGATGTTTTGAACTATATCTCCCATGATGCTTTGCCAGCATTATGGCCATAAAAGCATTATGGAAGATGTAGTCCACAAAATCTGGAGTGCCAAATGTTGTCTATCCCTGAAGTAGACTCTCAACTGATTTAGGGATAAAACACAAATAGAATATGTAATTTTTGGATGCCCTACAATTAGTGGGTTATTAGTAAAAAATAACTTAATAATTCACGCTGCATTGTATTTACAGCAAGTAATTCTTCTGGTTGAACAGAACTCATTAAACTTTTTAGGCAACATTTTGAAGTAATACACAGAGCCCATGCTAAAATGCATACACTTTTTGTGATGATATTGCTTGTAAAGGAATTATAAACAAAATAGTGTATAATATTATGTCAATGACTGTGTATAATACCTTTACAAGCAATGGATTCTTAAAACCGCGCATGATTTACCGTAACAATAATACCTACGTCAGAGCCATTAACTATATATTTAAACATACGCAGACTGGCTCCAATGTGTTACAAGGGATTCAAAATCTGTAGTGGATTTTGATTCTTTTGGTTTATGACTTAGCTTGCTCCCATGTTACCCATTGATGATTATGTACTGAATAATTTCTACAATTAATGACCTGTTATTTCTGAATCTGGCGTACACGGCATTGGACGCTTAGCAGCAGCACTGGAAGTGTAGTTTCTAATCCCAAGCCTAAGTAAATGCTTCTGAATGTCGGCGCGCCTCTTCATGAGCAAGTCCTTTTTCATGTTTAACTGCTTCTGCAGGGGTGGCTGCTGCTGAGCAGCTGACTTTTTCTGTATAAGTAACATTTTCAGCCTGAACAACTCTTTCTGTAAGAACAGTCGCCTCTTCATGATAGATTGCTTAAGTAAGAGTAACTTTTTTTGAATGGCTGATGGAATCTTTATGAGTAATGGCTTAGTCGTGATTGACTGCTTTTGCAAAGGTAGTTGCTTCTGCCTGATTGATGTTTTCGGAGTGAGCAAATGTTTCTGCATGAGCAATCGCTTATTCAACATCGACTGCTTCTGCGCAAGTAACTGTTTCTGCATCATTAACTGCTTCTGAATAATTAACTGCTTTTTCAGTAGTAATTGCTTTTGCATGAGTAGCTGTTTTTGCATGAGAAGCCTCTTCTGCATGACTAATTGCTTATCCATGACCGATCTGCTACTGCACAACTGACTAATATTGCAGTAAACATTAAACATCCAGAATGACAATGTCAGTGATGTCATAAGTGGGTTATGTTGTACACATAGAAATTCAAAGTGATATCACAACTTAGCAAGACTATGCTTCCCATAGCAATGTCCTGCTTAGTAACTACTCACCCAAACATTCTATAATTCCAAGGTCTAGTATATTGCTTATTACATCACACCAACTTACTAACCTTACTAAGTTTTATGTATCCCTTTACTAAAACGTCATAAAGGGTTTGTTTCTAAATAAAAAAATATTCATTGTTTCATCAAAATATACTTTTACTTTATGCTACATGCTTACATTTTTAATTATTGGCAGAAGTGAATGTTAAGACTACTTACATTTTCCCTGGGCTAACTTGCACATTCTCTTAAAAAAGAAAAAAGCATGCACCATTAACCCCTTAAGGACGGAGGCAGTTGTACAAGTTCTAATCAAAACAAAACATAAACAGAACCGTAATTCACCTCTTTCATATTAAGTGCACAATTATTATATATCTTTTTGTTCAGGAGAAACAGGGCTTTTATTGCACATCAAATATTTATATAAGAAATATAATTTAATATGAATAAAATTGTTTAGAAATTAAGAAATGTTATTTTTTTAGTTATGCATTGCATTTTAACTGTGAATGTCATAATACTGTTACGGCAATAAAATACACATATTTGTATTCAGCTATGTCTAACAACTACAACAGTACCTCCCATGAACAGGTTTTCTTGTGTTTTGGAAAGTTACAGGGTCAATATAGCAAGTTCCATTTTTCAGTTTATACACATTGAACTTTACCAGATTAGTAATGTTGCCTTTGAGACGGTATCGTAGCCCAGGAATGAGTATTTCCCACATGATGGCATATTATTTGCAAACGTAGAAAACCCAGGGTATGCAATATGGTGAATGTCCATACCTTTTTAGCCACTTTGTCACAAACACTGGCCAAAGTTAGGTTTCATATTTGTTTTTGTTTGAAAAAAGCAAAATACAAATTTGAATGCTAACTTTGGCCAGTGTTTGTGACTAAGTGGCTACTAAAAAAGACTGGACATACCCCACTTGCAATACCTTGGGTTCTCTACGTTTGCAAATGGTATGGTATGTAATCATGTGGTTTAAAGACATAGTAACAGCATTAAAGGGGTTTAATGATAACAGTGTCTTCTTCAACAGCTCAAACTGACACCCTGAATGATTATGAGCTTGAGAAGCTGTTAAGAGCAACTAGGCACATCAAGAATTTGGGTCATTGGAAAAACCTCTTAGACTATAGGCATGCTCAGTCTGCTTCTAGTACCAATTTGTAATGTCACTTATTTTATTGAAAGGGGCACTAGAGTCACCAGAACAACTCAGCTTAATGTATTTTTTCTGGTGAGTATAATCATTCCCTGCAGTCATTTTCATGCAAACACTGTGTTTTCAGAGAAAATGCAGTGTTTACATTGCCCCCTAGGGATACCTCCACTTGCCACTCCTCAGATAGCCACTGAAAGTGCTTCCTGAGACAGTGCTGCACAGTGTGCAATACTGCCGCTCAGTGTCTCCATGCTCTTCATGGAGACGCTGAATTTTCCTCATAGAGATGCAATAATTCAATGCATCTCTATGAGGAGGTTAACCAAGCCGGGGTTTAGCCCCAGCCCCATCCCACCTCCTTACCAATTTCAGGGGGCAACTCACCTAAATGGTGGCTTTAACACTTTAGTGTCAAGTAGGGATGTGCATGGGCAAAAAATTCAGTTCAGTTCGGCACTTCCGAAATTCGGGACTTTGGCAATTCAGTACTTCGGTTCGACACTTTCGAAATTCGTGAATTGCTGGACTTCAGCAATTCCCTGACCCTAACCCGACCCCTAACATAACTAAACTAAAGGCTTAGGGTTGGAGGTAGGGTTGGGGTTATGGGTAGGGTTAGGAGTAGGGGTAGGGTTGGAGTTGGGGTTAGGTTAGGGGTAGGGTTGGGGTAGAGTTAGATTCGTGCCATCATTCCCTTAATTCTCCCTCTCCTGTTTTGCCACTTTTCAGAAATCCAAAGTACTTCAGCACTTCTGAAATTCGGCAATTTGGCTCTGCACTTTCGAAATTCGGCAATTCAGAACTTCGGTTCGGCATTTCCGAAATTTGGCACTTCAGAAATTCGACAATTCGGAAGGCAACGAATTGCACATGTCTACTGTCATGTTTATGTTCCTGGCCCTATAGTGTTCCTTTAAGGTTAACAAATTAAGTTAAGTTAGATTGGAATTTCTCTTCCTGGATTCCCAAGAAAGAAACATTTTCTTACTTTCTATGGCCCTCCTTTGTTCCAAAGTCATAGGCACAGAATTCTAAGATGCCTCATGCCCCCTCCCAAAAAAGGCAGGTAAACTTAGCTTAAAGGACCACTATAGTGAAAGGAAAACATACTTGTTTTCCTGGCACTATTGTGCCCTTAGGGTGCCCCCACCCTCAGGGTCCCCCTCCAGCCAGGCTCTACGGGTAGGAAGGGGTTAAATCACTTACCTTTCTCCACCGCCGGGCTACCTCGGTGGTGGGGACTCTCCGCCTCCTTTCCCGTCGCGCGCATTCTCAATGCTTTCCTATGGATGCTGGCGTCTTCTCACTGTAAAAAGCAGAGTGAGAATCACGGAAGCGCCTCTAGTGGCTGTCAATGAGACAGCCACTAGAGGATGGATTAACCCATAGGTAAACATAGCAGTTTCTCTGAAACTGCTATGTTTACAGCAGAAAGGGTTAATCCTAGATGGACCAGGCACCCAGACCACTTCATTAAACTGAAGTGGTCTGGGTGCATATAGTGGTCCTTTAATATATTTAAAAAGGATATTATGGCACTAGAAAAAGTGCAGAGGTAGGCTACAAAACTAATAAAAGGAATGGAACATATCAGCTATGAAGAAAGGTTAACAAATTTAAACCTATTTAGTTTAGAAAAATGTCACCTGAGAGGGATATGATAACATTATACAAATATATTCGGGGGCCAATACAAACCATTGTGTGAAAATCTATTCACAAACTGGATTTTACAAATGACACGAGGTCATGCGTTTAGACTGGAAGAAAGAAGATTTCATCTAAGGCAAAGGAAAGGTTTTTTTTACTGTAAGAACAATAAGGATGTGGAATTCTCTGCCTGAAGAAGTGGTTTTATCAGAGTCCGTAAAGTCAAACAGCTAATAGATGCATACTTGCAAAAACAGAATATTCAAGTGTAACGGATTGCCTGGCACTCCGACTGGGTACCTCCGTTGAAAGATGCTCCTAGCGCTTCCTGAGGACTCCAAGCACTGCAGCAGACACCACAATCACCGAACCAGAGAAGCGTATACCTTCTCTCAAGCATGTGAATGCTGTAGACAGTTGAATAGGAACCATACGAATAGGTTTACTCTCCTAGCAGTCAAACTGGAACAGCATACAATAAATCCTTCCCCCAATAATGAGACAACACTTCACTTTGAGGGTTAAGCAGGAACTCCCTGTACTGTCACATACAGTCTCTTTTATTCCCAATCCACAAACATAGTACAGCCCACAGGGCGTTACAAAACAACCAATCAATCCGTACAATACACCCAGACACTCCCACACAAAATCCTCCCCTCTGCAGGTGATATGATTACTGAGCACAATGGGTAATCTCTTTATCACCGGCAGAGGAATACAGTTTTTACACAATATTTATAACTTCTAAAATATACATGTCACAAACATAAAACATATATTTTCATAATCAATCCATTCAGGGGAACAACATATTAAAAAATGGCACGAATCAGACCAGGGGTTCAAAAGTTAAGGGAAAGTCCTTTGTGACTAAATGAAGCATGGCTTTCTGGCCCAAACCAGTTTCAGAGTCTTCTATCCTGGAGAGTAATTCAATTATCTCCCAGGACAGACACAAGACTCCATTAAGCACATGGTTGCAAAAAGACACAAAACACTTTAAAATACATAAAGTCACATTTACACATAAAACACAGACATGTCACATATCCCCAGATAGCTGGGATCTGAGCGCACAAAACTACCAAATAGCGCTCAGATCCTATTCACACAGTTCAATTGCCATGGAGCCGAAGTCTTTAACTACACGAATGGGCTCCATGGCATAGCTATCTGGGTTAATACCTTCACATAAAGTCTGGTCCATAGTCCAAAGGCAAGAGGCGGGCAAGCAGCCCCCTCCAAAGACACGTGGCGAGGCCGGTTTCGCCACATTTCTCCCCTTTACCATCCAGACTAACAGGGTATCTGACCTCCTGCCGGTCAGTGCCCTGGTTAGTCCAGCAACCCACCCACGAAGCACAAACAGCAATGCAGCCCACCCACAATAACTGGTTACTACACCTGGATAAAATAGCAACTTGTCCATGTCCAGGTGCCTCACCACGGCTGTGCGGGGTCTGGTAGACTGCCTTGGTGGGTTGCTGAGTGGGCAGAGACCAGCGGTACTCTGCCCGGGTGCCAGTGCTACCACTGAAGTAGCCTGGTTGGAGCCTGGTTGTGGGAGGGGGAGACCGACTGTCTCCCCTCTGGATACACTGCTCTGTGGCTGGGGGACAGGACCGACCGTCCCTACCCCTGGTGCTGCAAGTGTAGAGACTACGGTCCCATCTGCATAGTTGTGGGGCTTAACATCTCCCCTTGGTGGGTTAGGCTGCCGCTGGAGAGAGGGTGTAACAAGCTCCTCTCTCTGAACTGTAGACTGCCGCTGGGGAGAGGGGGTAACCTGCTCCTCTCCCTGACACTCTCTTTGCTGGTGGAGAGGGGGACCAACTGTCTCCCCTTTCAATATTTTGTCCTGCGGCTGGGGTGAAAGACAGACTGTCTCCGCTTCCTGCAGGACACACTGCCGCTGGGGAGGAAGGACTGCACCTTCCGTTCCCTGGGAAAAAGACTGCCGCTGGGGAGGAAGGACCGCACCTTCAGCTCCCTGAGA